GCAAATCTATAATTTGACTTCTGACGTCACTGTGACGTCATTTCAAATGGGCTCGACACCAAATTTGGACACAACCTCGGCTAGGTATTCAAGAAGATGTGTGCAAAGTTTCGCTTCTCTATCTCTTCACGTTGCGACGATATCGTCGCAGAAGTAAAGGGAGGGGCAACTATATGCCCCCCCCCCCCCAACGGCCGGCGGGTGGCGCGGAGGCCCAGCGGCCGCCGGGTTAAGGGTTACCAGAGGTCGGGTCGATCACGTGACCTTAGGTACCATTATATATTGGGAAATACGAAAACTGTTATTTTTGTGCCAGGAATGCTCTAATACTACCTAAAGCAGATGGAACTGTGACTTCATACACTCCTTGCAAGGTCAGATGCTTCACTTTTGCATCGATAGTATCACTAGGGTCATAGCAATTTTCGTCAATGGCTGTTACCGATCGAACTGGGCTAGCGAGTCAGAAATGCCACCAATGGACTCAACAAGACCTGTCAAATCGAATAATATTATAGTTATATGACCTCTGACCAACTTTGTGACCTCTGTGACCATTCTTGGCAAAGCTATTTACCAAAACATAAAGCCTCTTTATTAGGGCACTTTGACTCAGCATGGCATCACTGCTCCAAGCCACCCAGTGAACCATCCAGACTAGCTAGAAATATTCCCAACTTACATTATACACCAAAGAAAACCCTGTAACAAGGTAACATAATTATTTGCACTAGCATGTTGTTAACACAGTAAACACAATAGGTACTTCACTCAATATTTATTGTTTACCTGGTAATCCCTTTTTTTAATATACTTTTCTGAACTCCATATAGGTATATGTCAGATGGGTAGTTCCACTAAACACTAGTATCTACACATACAGCAGTACCGTAAAATGGGGTGTTAAGGGACAGTGGGGTAATAAGGGACAGTTGCATGGGAAAAACTTTGAGTCATGCTAAGTTCCTAATTTGGGAAGGTTAAATAAAAACTTAAGTGTGGTAGTTGACACTGTTTTGTTCTTGATCATAGGACAAAATGGCATGGTTTTTCATGCAAGTGATTTGGTTCCAAAATGGTTTTGAAAATCATGCTACATTTTCACAAAATTGAGACATCTCCAAAACTCTGTGTGTACCACATAAACTAGTGGGTGTACAGGTAAAATGAATGCATATGTGTATTGTCACATGTATTGCACATGTTTCCTGAACAACTTATACAAAGCCACCCATTCATTCATCATCCTCTTCCTCTTTTCCGGACACATGCATATTTTGAGGTGGATGTGGGGTGCTAAGGGACAGGGAAGAAAAAATGAAAAATAATATCTAAATATAATTTCATAAAGTTTTCTTTCAGTAGGCATGGAAAACACCAAATTCCACATAAAATGCTGGCAAGATCATGCTTTTATCTCTAACACATCTTAAGTTATATAACAAAACACCTCAAAACTCCCGTAACGCTCTCTTTTACAATGATGGGTCAATGAAGACTGATGTAGGTAAATGTGATGTCATCATCAAAAGGCCAAAACAAAGAGGGCAACATAATGACAAGGGACTAACTTCAAAATGGGTTTTTGTTGATGACAGAATGGTACTTTTTGGTTCTGTTTACCTTATAATTAGCACATTTTCCAGAAGCGTAAACTGCATTACATGTAATTGGCTAAAAAGGCCATTAGTGGTGAATGAACCTGACTTGTTTTGTGACAGAATATGCAAAACATTTCAATAAATAAATTGTGTGCCCTTTCACACCCCAATTGTGGGCATTTGATGACCATTTCTTGGAATAATATAGGTGTCCCTTAACACCCCACATTGGGGTGCTAAGGGACAGTGATGAAAAATAATAAAAAATAATATGCATGTATATATTTTTAAAACTTAAATGTAGCAGGCATGTAAAGCACCAAATTCCACATAAAATGCTGACAATTTGATGCTTCTGTCTCCAACTCTTCTTGAGTTATATAACAAAACACCTCAAAACTGTCCCTTAACACCCCGTTTTACGGTACATGAAACTGTCAGGTACTTACTCTCCAAATGCACCCTCTCCCAGAAGGTTTGGAGCTTTGTCCCATCCTTCAATGAATTGCTGGTCCATTGGTACAGGAGGTGGCTGCATCTCCACTGAAAAAGAGCAAAAATGTAAGATTAAAGAACTAAACAAAACTTCTTGATAACCTACTGATCTTATTCTGACCTGGTAAAGAGCAAGGGTATTCAGGCTTTGAAGAGAGTCATTTCAAGATTTTTCTCTCCAAAAAATTTATCTAAGCTTTGAGCTTATCCTTCATGTGATATTCTTAATGGAAAGCGTCTTGTTTAACCTTAGGCAGTTCGGAAGAGCATCAAAGAGCATGGCTGTTATTTTATAGGTCAGGGCAAAGGTCAGGTCACCAGGTTGCGTCATTGATCATAGGTCAAATTTTGCAAATATTAACCATTTTCAGCAATCATAGCACACCTTATTTAAATGATTTTTTTAAATTAAGCTATCAAATAATATTTTTAAGGTAAATATCCAAGACCTTAAATCTCAGGGTTGTAAAGGGGTCATGGGGGCAATTTTTAAAACCAATATGTCATGTTTACCTGTTACCCAAATTGAGTCTTTAAGTCTGGCTTCAGATGCCTCTAAGTTCAGGGTCGACAACTGATCAGGCAGGAGTGTGCTCCCATTGTTACTTTAATTGTATATGTCTCAGGCCAGCAACACAAAAACAGCTGCAGATAAGAAACCATAGAAGTTAAACTGCTGACACTGGACACAATTTTTATTAGAAAAAATTCCTATTCGCAAAACTGGGTCCTATTCAAGTGTCTGCGGCCATGGCAGGCAGCAGCTCCAGCGGTAAAAAAGATTGGGCTTCAGCATGGCTAAATGCCAATCTGATTAAGGGCAGAGGAAACTGATTTGTCACCTGATTGACCTCTAGCTAAACCCAGCATTTTTCACCACTGGAGCTGCGGCTGCTGCACACTTAAACAGGGCCCTGGGCACTGTTCAGCTGCAGTTTTTTATCAGCAGGCTGCGAGCATGCTGCTACTTCTTGGCTCCTCATTGAAGGAATTCAAGTGGTCTATTCGTTAGACCAATGAGAGGCCAAGAAGCGCCAGCAATAACTTTTTCATGTGAGGAAAACCAACAGCACGCTGATATAAAAACAGCGACCAAACAGAGCTCTGGGGAAATTTATGGGCAACTTTTTGGCAACAAATCAAATAAATGAAAATGAAATGCCACAGCCAGCAGCTTTAGTTGTCTAGAACACTGGCCTGTGATGCGATGTCAAACTCTCCAGAAATCAAGTACTCAAGAAACAAACAATCGTTGATCATGTCACATTCACATTCATATTTAAGTAAGTACACAATCAGCTTTAAAAATACACCATAAATTAGCAAAAGCGCGATCTGAATCAATGCGTAATGGTTTTCTAGCACAATAGCATTAACGGCGCGCCTGACCTTACCAACCTCTCTCTCCAGCCACCATGAGGACTTAAGGGACAGAATCGACTTCAACTCAACATTACCAGCTTGATAATACAAAAAAAATCACGTAATATCTAGAATCATACTGCTATTATCACCAACATAAGCAAGAAACCTATCCGCGCCAGAAAATGTCACGAGGCCACACTCCCCGCAAATTTTCTTCGCTGCGTTTCATCGCTCTCGCGCCGTTTTGGTAGATATGTTAGAATGTGATTTTTCGTCAGCTGATATGTAAATATACCCGGACACTTTTCTGAAAAATAAAGTTGATTCTTTGAAAATATCAAATATTTACTTTCAACGCCTGAAATTGTTTATCAGTTACCACTAAATAGCTATGAAATGGGCTTAACATAAATTATTTTACAAGAACAACAAGGCCGCAACCGAGAAATATGACGTCATATACCAAAACTAGATAGACAACTGTAATTCTTTCACTGAACATATCAACATGCCAGTACTGCGTAATGGTCATAGGGCGGAGAGATTTTCGCGCGGATTCGTAGCGTCATCTGTTGAGTAAATAACCCGGTTTACATAGGGTTTGTTGCAAGCTTATATCTCCGTCCGTGATGTTGCAAAAGATGCCAATGGTGCTTCACAATTTACAAAATGATCCCCTCTAAATATTTGAAGACCACTGCATCGAAATTATCGCCAAATTAACAAGCTAGAGCCTCGTCAAAAATGCTATGTAAACCGGGTTAATATTTGACTTTAGCACTACTTCCTAGTTGGGCGCCACCATTTACAATAATAGATTTTCATTTCCCATGCCTCAAAAGGATCGCGGACAAAAGCATGCATCGCAAAAATACGTGGGACATAAGATGTCCATCAAGACAGCCCATAGAGCCTGGTTTCAGCACAGATTGGGGACACCTCAGATCACTAGCTGAAACAGTTGCTCACAATCCCAGCCAGCAAAATAAGTCTGGGCTTAGTTTGGTCTGGGCCGTATCCGTGGTTTAACTCTGGCTAGCACCGGCATTCTTGCTCCGGCCGAGGTACGGGTGAGGTCTGGGGCTGCACTGGAGCTGACACACGATACCGGAGCTCGCCTGCAGTGCACAGCCGGACTTCAGCCGTATCAGTCGTGCCGCACCTTTACGGTATACTTCAGCCGCAGCAGTACCTAAGCCAGAGCAGCTACCTGTCTCTAACGTTTGCTGAAAATCGTGCAATTAAATAACGTTCGCTCAAATGTCGCTCACGCTCCGGTCTCGCCTGTAATCCATTCGAGTGGTCAACGTTTGGCGTTTGCAATTCGTTCCCGCCAGCACTTCCCATCCATGTGACCTAGTGGGTAAGGCGTCCAAATCGTAACTCAGCGTCAGCGACTATGTAGTTTCCGGCCGCGGACCTCAAAGTCGTTTGACCCGCGTCGCGTTCGTATATTCTCAGCCAGCTGGCAACTGGCGAGAGAGGACCACGCTAGACCCGGGAGGACCATGTTGCCATCTAAATGCGATAAGTTAATTCGAATCAAATCAGCACCGGTGAGCCGGGCGCGGGTAAGGTCGGGTGCCGGGTCCGTGATGTCATTTGCAACAAGCACCGCATAGCGTGCTACATACCTCATCCCAAAGCCACCGATTCATCCAGTCCGACAAAATTTCTGAAAGGAATGTATAAAAATGTAATAGTCGCTCTCCATATGAAATGTGTGGATCCGCGAAGTCTGGAGTCGGCACTACGGCAGTGGCATTACCTCATGGCGCCGATTCCCGCGCGGGCCGCGGCGGTCCCCCTCTCCCGTCGCCCACCACCCCACGGAGCCCTCATCACCATGCACCGAAGGACAAAGCTGACCCCGTGCCGCGTGTCGCAAGACGCCTACCCACGGCGGGCGGATCGGGCGGCCCGGGCGCGGGCTCACTCAGACGTGTAGAAAGTACTCACGGCACTGCCGGCTAGAATAGGTGCTGGTGCCACGCCACCCCTGCTCCGCTGCAGAAACGGTCAAAGGCGATACCGCGGCGACCGGTGAGTATATACTATAATAATATATATTTTTATAATAATAATAATAATAATGATAATAATAATAATAATAATAATAATAATAATAATAATAATAATAATAATAATAATAATCTATAAAGAGACTAAAAGACGAGTTGTTCAGCGCTGTGTTCGTCGTAACCGTGCGGGGATGCAGTTATAACTTTTTTTGAAGTGTTCCGTTCGTTAAGTCATTGATTTACATACCTTGCAGAATTTCATAAAATGATTTACATTGAGTTACGAAAGGATTTCATATGCATATGTGATTTATCGGACTTGGCAGTATGTATTGCATATAAACGTTTCGTTTTAATAGGCCTGATTGAACGCTTTGTCGTCATTTGTTTCAACTCGACGTCACACGTCTTTAATTAAATCTTAAATAATAGCTTTCCTTTAAATCGTCTGCTTCATCCTATATAACAATTGGTTTAGTTTACTATATTATCAATAAAAGTGAATAAGAATAATAGCTGGTAATAGCTGTCTTCCTCTCCATGTCAGGCTCGGAAATCTCACCACAGTCTCCTCTCGGAAGGAGGAACGATCTACAATAGGAGACTGCCGAGTGCCGACCCAACCGTTCAAGACTGCCGAGTGCCGGCCCCACCGGTCGCCCAGCCCTCCATACCCTCCAGGCAGCCCCCGTCTGCCCCCATCTGCAGAAGATGACAGCCGCCGGCAGTAATTGTCCGCGGTTCGCCCGCAGGCGGCCGTCATCCCCTCGGCCGGCGCTGGTGACGGCGCTGGTGACAGTGATGGTGCTGGTGCTGGTGCTGGTGACTGTGGTGATGTCTGTGGGAGTTTCAGGCGCTGGCCGTGTCCTGTTCCCCGGCTCTGAGCGCGAGCCTGCGTCAGGCGGCTCAGAGTCGGGCCTTTGGATTTGGCGCAGCTCCAGTAGAGCTCAGTCACGCAGCCCACGTCTGCTGCCGGTAAACCCCCCAGCACGTATACAGGCGGCGGCTCCACAGCCACGGCCGTCGCGACTGGACGATGAACGGGTGGCTCCACTGAGAGACAGGGGATCGAGCGGAGTTCCCCCGGCACCAGTGACCCCCAGTCGACGTCCGCCGGTGCTGGCACGTTTGGAGGTCACCGATGTCCAGCCGGGGTCACCGACCGATCAGCGACCTGACCCGGTCCACCCGGACGTACAGCCGGTCGTTGAAGCTCCCTCTGTGAGCCTGAGGGGTCTCCCAGACCTTCCTTTAGACCCAGACGGCAATCAACCTCAGAGCTATGGTAGACTAGTGGGTGCTGCGAAGGAAATTACGAATCCGATTGAGAGTGAAGTGGCACCGAATGCTGCAGAGACTTCACCGCTAGCTGGTGGTGGTGCCGTCTTTGGTGGGCGAATATTAAGAGAAGGAAGAGGAGAGAAGACAGTGTTAAATGCAAATGACGACGTAAACACTAATCACTTTACAGAGGTTGTGATTGACTCTGCCCCATTAACGCTACAAACGAACAAGCTTCCGGCACTGCCGAATACACGCACCTTTCCTGTGACGAGCGTAAAAGAAAACAACATCCATCCAACATCAAACCGATTGACAGATACTCCGTCAGTGACCCCAAAGACCGATACAATATCGATGACGTCATCGTCAGTTTACTATGATAATGACGTCATCGCGGTAACCACCAATGAGCAGAGTGGAGGGGTACGTGGACCCCGGAAACTTGAACAGCTCAGTGACGATCCTCATCCCGCCGGTCTTCTGATTAAGATCGCAGGAATCACCAATGGGCCGAGTGAAGGCCAAGAACCCCTTGGACCCCGGAAATTGGAACAGTCGAGTGGCGATCTTCATTCCGCCAGACTTTTGATTAAGATCGCATCTCTGGATGGGACGGCTCAGCTGCAGAAAGCGAATAGCATCGAAGGTGAGTTACTCGGGGTAGCATCGAATTGTTTGACAAACTGTTAGGTAAGTACAGCCAGATGGACCCTCTTTTTTTGCGTCGATGAATAATTTTTCATGGAGTTTTAAAGAGACGTTAACAAATGTTACGATGAAAAGGCGGCTACAGCCGAGTTCACACATTTCATGTAAATTAACCCGAAAAAAGGTATAGGCTTCGTGCAAGATGACTGCATTGCGAAAAATGAGTGATGAATTGTAATATGTGGATATCGCACCCTACACGAATTGATCGTTAGGAATTTTTCAAGTCAGTTTGCTAATTGAGCGAGACAATAACACGACTTTACTGTTCGATCGCTATCGGACAGATTCACCGCCAGAGGAGGTTCGGTTGGAACTGGAGCTGCTCAGCTGCCCCAAGCTGGGCGGCAACCTCACACTGGCGTGTCGAGTGGACGGACGGACGGAGGACATCGGTACGGTTCAGGTAAGGCACGTGGGATGATAATTATCCGTCTCAGTGAGCTCGTTATACCGTGTACGACTAACTCGACACTGACCCACACTAGACAAAGGCATTCATTGCCCAACAGTTCCTGTCAGCAAAGCAGATCACACCCGTTTTGTCATTCAATTGAGTACGGCTGGGATGACACAATAAAAAAATATGCTAAATAAGCATGCGCGCATCGCCTATGCACGCGCCCCTCGCCTCCGAAACTTACGTCAGTTGCGTTACGTCACCAAAGGTCGGCCCCGTTCTCAGAGATTCCGGTGGGGTAAGCGCCTCTTCGATCGTCACAACGGACTGATGGGAGACGAACTGATCGCCGTGGACGGAAGGCCCTTCAGACAGGACAAATTCCACATCGAGACGGTAAGGAGTGGTCGAGAGGCCGTTTGGTTAATGGTTAGATATCGGCAAGATGAGCCAATTACCGTAATTTTGAATATAAGGTATCATAAATCCCACAGATATAAGCATTGAGTGCTTTTTTTTTGTTGGGTTAGGCCCTTTCGGTCCAATTAGACCATTTCAGAGCCGGAAGGATGATAGGAATTAGGGGGAGACATTGGTCTGGGCAGGCACCCTAGTGAGTCACCGGGGCTGAGCCCATCCCGAAAGACAGGCCGACCAGCCCCAAGGTACTCACTGCACCCGGCTACGGGGTGCGCTCCCTCGGGAGCAGCGGTGCCGCTCCAAGGGAGCAGCCCGCATGAGATAAAGTTGCCTGTCCAGCCCGGAGTGGGGGTTGAGGCGTGGAGGAGAAGGATTTCAGTATCCTGAGGATAGATGCAGGGAACGGTGCATTGAGTGCGGCCTCTTTGCATACATATACCTAGTTCTGTAAACCCTGTTTGTCAGTAACACTGCAATTGTCAGTTGTCACAGTTATTGGTCAATGGCAATGCTCATTGCTCATGCTCTGTTGCAACATTGCGAGTCAACCAGATATTTCGCCACCTGGCGTTATGAGAGTTTTGCCCGTCCCACTGCTGGACCGTATAGGAAGCGTGCCTTGCGGCACAGCAGGCCTTCAGGCGTTCACAATTGACACTAGTGCCATCTATTGACAGCAACAGAAAATAACTCATGCCTTGCGGCACAGCATGACATAAGGCGCCGACTGCTGGCACCATCTATTGATGGAAACTGACACTAAGGCGCGTCTTGCGGCACAGCATCATTCCAGGTGCTAACCAGCAGCGCCATCTATTGGCGGGAATTGACACGAACCCATGCCTTGCGGCACAGCTTGACATCAGGCGTTCGGGAGCCGGTCGCCTTTTGTCGGAAACTGAAACTAACAGTCGCACCACGCCGTCTGTGTGAGCTGTGTGTCGTTTGTGAATGTTTCTATGTATGAACCCTACCCTGCTGTGCGCCGTGTGTCGACAGGCGGGCGAGGGTCACCAGCGGCTGACGGTGTCTGACGTCACGTCCTCCGACGCCGGCCTGTACCTGTGCCACGCCAGTCTCGGGAGGCCCCATCGCCACCTGCATACAGAGCTCGCCGTGGTACTGTGCCGCAGGTGATGGAACAAGTGGAGACGTGGATTCCCGAACTGCGGATCAACGCCACAGGATGTGGAAACGAACGGAAAATTGTCCTTGTTTCTACTTTCAAGTCGGAGTTTTATTGAACAAAATAATGTGGCAATCGCTTACTATACCTACTGATTTAAGGTGTTCAGAAATCAGGAATATCATATCCCGTTTTATATATTTTATTTGGTAAGAGCCAAGCGAATTTCTGCGCCCGTAGCGCACGAGACTCACTTGTAAGTGTTGCATGAACTACGGGTGGGTTGTGTTATCTTTGAGCGTCATCGGCATGCGTGGTGCTCCTCAATACAAGATGTATTGTTTAACGTTTAGCCAGTTCTAAGACCCGTTTCGAGCCGAGGCACCGGACTAGCGACACAATGACATCTTTTTTCTTGGTCGGTTACATCTACCTAGAGAACTGTGCAAAACTTTGAGAAATTTGAACGTGTCTGAGTTCGCAATATATATATATATATATATATATATATATATATATATATATATATATATATATATATATATATATATATATATATATATATATATATATATATATATATATATATATATCCTCGTCGGCTAGCACGGCCCGAGCGCGACCGATTAGCTGGCGTCCACACCGACGCCACTCACGGATTTTCAGTGCGTCCCGTCATGGATTTCAGGGAGTTAAATACGGCAATGTGGACATAAGGAGTTTTCTACAAATTGCGCGTGCCGCCGGCCGTTTCCTCCCGGCCATATATATATATATATATATATATATATATATATATATATATATATATATATATATATATATATATATATATATATATATATATATATACATAAGTGAACAACAGTATCACTGAAACAGGCAAAACTTTTAGGGCAGCTAATAATACAAACGGCAAAAAACATACATAACTATATTTTAACTACGTAACAACAGTGCCGTCAAATTGCATGCACTAAATAAAATATATCACGTAGATTCAGAACGCTGGGTGTCAATAATGGGTCGTGCCTTGCACGTGCATCGCAAATAGCAGGCTCGGAGCAACACAGATCAAGTTATTTCTTGATCAATCACACAGAAGTCGTTGAACGATCAAGAAACTGAAACCATCATTGAGATCAAGATCGCCCGAGTATCTGGGCAGTTCACAGGACGCATTACTGCGTTACGAACAGTGCGTAACGCCGAAACACCGGATACCGGCGTAGCATGAATAAAAAAATATGAGAGAGCAGGTTGCCACAGCCAACCACAAGTCATCTGCGACCGACTAAAGCACTATTTGAACATGACAATCAGATCACAGGGTAACACATCGAACGCGACAGTGAAATACACCACGCGACACAACAAAAAGATCCGATAAGCTCGAAGAAAGACTGTAAATACTGCCTGGTATAAAGGAATAGACGTTAGCTGGGTTTCACCGAGACGCGATCCCCATGCAGGCTACGCACGTGCTTCTTCAGGCCGTTACTCTGCGCGAACCGTTTGGGGCAGAAGGTGCAGCCGAAAGGCCGCTCTCCCGTATGCACGCGCAGGTGACGGCGCAGGTTGCAGCTCTTCTCGAAGCGTTGCGAGCAGTGCGGACAGCTGAGCCGGCCGCCGCCGTGGTGTCGGCGACGGTGCACAAGGAGACCGTCTCGGTACTGAAACGACTCGCCACACTCGGCGCACACGTAGCCCTTAGTTCCGGCGTGCGCCGCCAGGTGGTCGGCGAGTGAGCCGCCGCGAGCGAACCCCTTGCCGCAAATATGACAGCGGTGCCGGGAGGCTGTGCGGGTTTCTGAGGGCGGGGTCGGGTCGGCGGCGGGTGAAACACCGTCCACATGCCGACCAGAGGCGGCAGCATCATCTGCGACGTCAGACGGACTCCGGTCTGTCGCCGCCCCACCCCTCTCTGGCTCCCCGATCAAATCGCTCGCATCAAAAGGTGTTGTAAGTCCTTCAACAGCATCAGATGACTGCACTTCCAGAGCGCTGGCACTGGTCACTGGCACTGCTGCGGGGGCAGGTCCACAGACCTCTACCCCACCTAGATCAGTCACGTCAGCCTCCGCGGAAACAGGTATCCCACTTCCTGGTGCGTCACAGTCTGAAGAAAGCCTTCGGTCTGACGGCTCAGCATGGGACCTGTCGGAATCAGTAACGAGCGAGCCTGCCACAGTTCTTTCCCCTGCCACCAAGAGGTCAGAGCTCCCTTTGGCTGGTTTCACCTTTTCCACACCGAATGCACAAGACAAGGAAGCTGGCCCACAGCTATTATCTTCATTATGCTCTCTGATCAATACAGATTCGTTTTTCTTTTCAGCATCTTCATCCTGGAAAGAGCCAGCAAGTCTGTTTAATAGGAATGCAGGATGGAATGGCATTCTATTAGAACTCATGAATCATGATTCCATTCAAGAATGTAGCATTCAAGACACTAAAGACCTGAAGCCATAAACTTGAGCTTATAAGGACTATCGTAAATGAAAATGAAGCCATTTAGATATGATGTAGTGATAAGTTCAACTCAAGTGACACAAAATAAATCTAGTCTGATGAAAAATAAAAGCACTCACCAAACGTTCCCTGGCATAAGTAATGAGACCTTTGAGAGCTTGCTCAGTTTCAGTGGCAGCAGATATTTGTTTGTCCCAAAGTTCCACCAGAGAATAGCACGAATTGCATAGTATACTCAGCGGCTGCAGCTTGAGGTGCAGACCTCCCAGTCTCTCCAGCACGGTCAGCTGAGATGCCGGCAACACCAAATCGGAGGCCATCCACAGCAACGAGCGCGTGTCTTGACAAACGACACACCATAGCTTAGCCGACATATTGACAGCTGACACACTGTGATGTCTGAAAACAGATACAGGCATAGTTAGGTTGGCATTGTGTCATCGCAAATTGGTGAAGCAGTAACGAACTGGCGTGCACTTCGTTCCTGGACCAAACTCGTACCCCCATAACGTTGGTTTTTGAATTAAGATATGGCTGAAAGTTGGCACACATATATGGTGCAACAATAGTTACCCGCGCCCCGTAGGGCTATCGGCGGACCCTACCACCCGTAGGGGGGGGGGGGGGGGTTCGGTCCCCCCTAAGATCTCGGAAATTTACCGGCCGATTTTCTAAATTCAAACGGCGTTCGATAGCCCCACCGGGGCACTACCTTGTGACCGAATTTCAATGACCTAGGTCAAACCGATGACGTCACAGGTCAGGTCAAAGGTCGGATTTTCACCGTTCACAGGCATTTCAAGAATGTGTTGTGAAATCGAGTAAATTGGTAAGTTATTGAAAATCATCGATGGTCAATTGTTACTTTGCTATCTGAGGTCACTGATACCAGGTCAGGTCACAGAGGTCAGGTCACTGGGGGTCACAATATGAAAGTGTCGTGTGATACATGTTTTATGGTGCATTTTACATGACAAATGCGATTATGTGGGTCAGGCAGCCTTTGGGGCCAGCTTAGGTTACGTTCTGGTGAAGGTCAGGTCAAGGTCAGGTCGAATTAGGTAAAATTTCAAAGTTGATATTTTTGCATAAAATGGGGCTCGATTCGATGCAGCTTGTCACGGGGTGGTCTAATGGTGGTCTTTGTTTTGCCCTACGTGGTCTAGAATTGCCAAAAATTGAGTTTGAAAATTTTACGTCATAATTTTTGAACAGCTTTTTTACTTGACCAAAAAGAGATCGATCTGAAATTTGGTATGTAGATAGAAGACGGTAGGCACTATCATATATATTCCGTTTTTTTCGAAACTAAAAAAACTTTTTGGATTTTTTGGCTAATATATCCTAAAAATTATTTTCTATTTTATTTTTGGGGGTCAAAATTTAAAAGATCAAAAAATTCGAGATATTATTTTTGTAGCCCTGTCAATTCTACACCTTTGATGTCTGATCATTTTTCTGTATCTTCAAAGCTGTAGGCCTGACAGCTCTCCTCACGAAGCTCTTTTTTCGGTCGAAAATGGCAGAACATGACGTCATTCTGGCGTCATTTGTGGCCAACCTATCATAGCCTCTAGAATTTTTTTGGTCACAATGTGTAAAATTGTTGCCCGGAGGGGTCCTGAAAGTTTGGTGGCGAAATCTGCAGCCGTTTAGAAGATATTGACGGAAAAGGACAAGGGGGGCCGTTTCGGCCACCCCCCCCCCCCACGGGGCGCGGGTTAACAGTTGCTGCAAGTGAAAGGCCCAGGCGGTTTGAAGCCCACGTGCTCGAGGTACGCTCATCATGAGCTTGCGTGGCACCTCCGGGTCCATGTGAGGTAGCGGAAAGATGGTGCCTGGCCTAGACCTCAAATAGACGCAAATTTACATGTATCATCTTTCTTAGCACTATATTTGCTTTACAAGGCCCCGAAATTCCCCATTTTCCCGCGGTTGAGGCACGCCGAGGGGATTCTCTTCGCGGCTCACAAACGGCACGTGTGTTCTATCCAGCAGGTCCAGTGCTCCTCGCGTGATGAGCTGCGATGAGGCTTGACCAGAACACACATGCATTCCTCGGGTAGTGATGCTCCTAATGTGACAAGATCGCTGGATGGACCCGCCCAAAGGCCCCGACAGGAGAGTGACTCATGGGACGGTAAATGGTAAATGGTCATTTTACCTGTAAACTGGGATCAACTCACGAGAATTATATGTCAAACTGATGTAGTATAAGCCATGCCATCTTTCGCGTCTCTTCGCACCGTGGGTTTTGACACACACACAGCAAAAAGCTTGGCCGATCCCCTCCCCCCCCACACCAAAGCGAAGGATAAAATGCTGGGTACCGCGGGCCTAATTTGCCCCCCCCCCCTTGCGATCGGCTGCAACCGCCAATGATTGTAAGTGGGACCATTGTGTATCTAGCCTCACCCTAACACGCACCCTGGTAGGGTCTGATTATAATGCGACCCAGATTATGGGATTATGGGAGGGGGCTATTCCTCCCCTCGTATCTCTGGAACTACTGGACGGATCTACAAAACTCAAACGGCGTTCGATAGCCCTGTAAAACTTTCGATAGAAAAGTAAGTACTTTGACCTCAGAGTCACTGATGGCGTCACAGAAAAGGTCAAAACTCGCATTTTTCACCGATTACGGGCCTCCGGGGAAATGCGTTATTACGAGCGAGCGAGCGCAGCGAGCGAAGTGAGTCTTTTCAAAAGCGTTACAGGCCGGGCCGGGCCGGGCCGCTCATACTGAGATTTTTCCGTTATTACGAGCGAGCGAGCGCAGCGAGCGAAGCGAAGTCTTTTCAATCTAAATCTTTCGGGCCGCTCATACTGAGATTTTTCCGTTATTACGAGCGAGCGAGCGCAGCGAGCGAAGCGAAG